AATATGTGATGCAAGAAGGGGGGTTGAGAGAGTGACGGGGCTGACCAGAGCTGGGTGCAGATTTTCTGGAGGAGGCGAATCTGGAGCAGATTTTCCCCCTGAGGAGGCAGGGCCAGGGGAATGCAGGGGGTTGGGGAGAGAATCCTTTGGGACCTGTGGCCCCTGATCTCTCTGTCTCTTACTCTGAACTCTCTTGTTCCCTCTTTTCCTTCCTTCCTCCTCCTTCCTCTGATTGCCCAGCAGGACATTTGCCTAGGGTTTTTAGAACTCTGTGGGTTCAGGGCTCCCCTACCCTGACCCCACTCTGGTCACATCTCCCTCACATCTCCTTTGGCCCTTCCAGGTCCCGGGCCTCCTCTGAGAGTGAGTTGGATGATGAAGGTCCCTGTGGTGGTGATGGGGACCCAGGCCTGTTCCCCTTCCCTCTGCCCCGGGGTGGGGCCCAGGCTTCCAGCGAGGAGAGTGAGGAGGAGGGGACTTCTGAGGACCTCCACCTCCTCCCTGACTGCCATTATGCAACCCGGCCCCCTCGGCCACAGGCGGTAAGGACCTGGGGTTGGGGCCTGGAGTGGGCTGTACCCCAGCTCTCCTGGCCCAGAAGATGGGGAGGATGTCAGGTTCTGTGTACAGGTACCCTCCTTGCATAATGGGCTTGCCAGCCACATGCCTGCCTTCTGTCCTCAGTTCTGCACCTTTGGGAGCCGGCTGGTGAGCCCGGGATGCTACGTGTTTAGCCGCCGGCTGGACCGGTTCTGCTCGGCACTCAGTTCCATGTTGGAACGGCACCTCAGCTCACACATGTGGAAGTGAGTCTTTGGCCCAGAACTTCCCTTCCCAGGTCCAGGCAGACATGGGATTCAGAAACCCTGATTCTACACACATGCTCATAGGGACCTTGGCTTTTTTGCAGAGAGACCCCAGAAAGAGAATGAGAGGAGATGAGATAGGGAGACATTTCATCCTGGAGCTGAATTAGGGGGTCGGGGTAAACCTAGCTCTTAACAATCCTTTGAGTAATAAGAGATAGGTCATGTCTAAACAGAGATGTAAGAGGAAGTTCTTAATGGATCTCCATACTGTTCATATACTATATACTAGTTTATTCTTTAAGGCGCTCTGGTGACCTAGTCAGTGAGACTTGTGCTTCCAACCCAAAGGCAGGTAGTTTAAATCCACCAGGAGAAATACTGTTCAGGAGAAGGATGGACAGTCTCCTGTGTGATTTACAGCCTCTGAAAACTTGCTAGAAGATGAGCTACAGGTTGTTTCTAATTTGACAGCAATGAATTTTATTTGGTTGGTTTTTTTTTAAAATTTATTCTTAAAGAGTCCTGTTTGTGCAGTGGTTAAAATGCTCATCTGTCAACTGGAAGGTTGGCAGTTCAAACCCACCAGTTGTTCCTTGGGAAAAAGATGTCGATAGTCCACTTCCATAAAAATTGTAGTCTAGGAATCCCTGTCGACAGGTTTCTATCTTACAGGGTTTCTGTGAGTTGGGACCTTCTCCATGGCAGCGGGTTTGAGGTTTAGTTCATTCTTGTCCCCTTGTCTTCCTCCTAACCCTCAGTTCCAGCATCTCCCAGCAGATGGCAGCAGTGCTAGGGCACTTCTGGTTATTTCTAGGTGGGGTGGGGAGAACCTCTTATTTGCTTGGCACTCACAGTGGGGCTCTCTTTTTTGCTGCAGGAAGATCCCACCGGCGGCTGAACCTCCATCCCACCTCATCAGCTCCCCCCTCTCTGCCCCTCTGAGCCCATCCTCCATAGGCAGCTGCCCTCGCCTTCCAGGCCTACCCCCCAGACCTGCCTGCCCATCCTCCACTCCCCCCACCAAGGACAGCCTTGTCCTCAGCTACCCTGCAGGTTCTCCCAGTGTGGCAGCTGCCTGCAGTCAGGCGGAATGCATGGGCGGAAGCCAGGCCATCACCTCACCACTGCCTGCCAACACGCCATCCCCGTCCTTCAGCAAACTCCCGCCTTCCAAGGCCAGCAAATCGTCCAAAGGCAAGGACGGGCCTGAGGTGGAGGTCCCATCTCGAAAGCGGAAGTTAACCCCTGGCACCACCACTTTCAAACGGACCTGTATCTTAGAGCCCACTGGAAAAGGCAAACCCTCTGGTTGCCGGGGCCTCTCTGCCAAGACTAAAACAGCCCTGGGCATGGGGCTGAATGGGACAGTGGGGCCTAGGGTGAAGCGGGCAGTGCCCCTGGACTGTCAGGGTTCCCCTCATCAGCCCCCCACACCAGTCAAGGCTTCTCAGTTGGAGAACCGGGGAGTAGCTATACCCCCAGCCAAAGCTCTGACGACCAACTGCCTCTCTGAGGAGGAGGTAGCCAAGAAGCGGAAAAACCTGGCCACTTACTGCCGGCCAGTGAAGGCCAAGCACTGTCAACCTAGCGCCCCTGCCAATGTGGCCTGTTCTGTGAGACGTAAGAAGCCAGGCCCAGCCCTGGCCTTTGAGGAGAAGTGCTCCACACTGAAGGTACCAGCCCAGCTTCTTGAAGAGCATGGACATGGAAGGGTCAGAATAGGTCAGGGCAGGGTGCATCAGGGGTATCTGACTGGGAAGGTGCTAAATATCTTTTTACAGAGAAGGCTAGAAAGGGGACATTCCTACACCATTCTCTTTTGGGAGAGGTGGCCCAGTTCTTAGTAAAATGACCCCAACATTTGCTTAATAGACCTGTCCCAGCCCTCTCTCTTAGTCTGAGGATTTGCTGTCTTTTTCCACTCTAAATTTAACTAAAGGCCTATTGGCTGTGGTCATCACTGTAGGAACTGGAGCTGCCTCTTCTCTAAAGGAAAGGCAGTTGAACTCTGAGCTCTGATGGGAAGGTTTGGAAAAGTGGAGTTGAGCTTGGGCCTTTGAGATAATGGTCTCATGGGCTTCACTGACTCTGCCTCTGACCATCATAATAGGTAAGGACCCAATTCAAGGCCCGTGTATACATGTGTGCCTGCCTTACACATCTGCTCACTTCTAGGTTTTAAGTGCCAGGCAAGTTCTTTTGGTAAAGTCTGCAGCCACATTTATTTGCCCCTCTGATGGGCATGAGGAACATGCCACAGGCAATTCATAGGACTTGGCTGGTAGGAGCCTTGGCAGGAGTAGGATGAAGAGAGGTTCTCTTAATTTAGACCTGATCCATGAGGTGCACACCAGCTCCCCTGCCACCTGTACGAGACTAGTGAATCTGACAGAAGCCCAGGGCTCAGGTGTGCACGCGCGTGCATGCTGCATGCAGGTGTGTTTCCAGCTTCCCCACTGAGGCTGCTCCTGCCAGGCTGGTGTTCATGTTCACCCTCGCCCAGCCTTGCTCACCAGGCCGGTAGGAGGAAATCAAAGCCTTAGCCCTCATGGTCTATACAGTTCACTGGGGAGGAGAACTGGTCGGCCCCACTTGACCTTATCTCTTGCCTCTTGTCTTCCTGCAGTCAAAAGCCCATTAACAAGAAAGTGCCTGCCCACTGCGATGGAGCCGCCAGCACCTCCTCCCCTCCAGATCCAGGCCCCAGGCTGCTGCCGCTTTTTATAACTTTATATTATTTTTTTTAAGAAAAAAACAAAAGATAACAAAAAAAAACCTCTTTAAAATACCTCAAGACTGTCTTCCTGTTCTGTTACTGCTAAAAAGATAAAAACAGAATAATAGACAAGGAAGAGGGAAATGTAACAAAATGAGTGCCCTTACTAACCCAGCTCCATCCCAGGAGCCTGATGATAGGTCACCAGATTCCACTCCCTGTCACCTGTCTGAAAAAGTCTTAGGCTCTACCCACCATTTTTGTCCTTAATGTGAAAATGGCTTGGTTTTACCGTAGTTGGGAAGGGAGAGATGGGTCATCTCTTTAAATTGGATGAGGAACATAGCTCTGAGGAAGCAAGGCTCCCCAGAATCTTGTTGCCTTTCTCTATCCTGTCCCACTCATTCTAGGGTAGAGACTGCCATTTGGACTCAAGAGACTAGTCCCATTAGAGAGAGACATTGCAGGGAAGTGGAACCACACTTCTCTCTGGCTCTACTTTTTGCCATAGGAGTTGGTTTCTGGCCTCTTTCTGGTCCTCCATAACACTAGGCCTCTATCTTGTCTGAATTCCTGTCCCCCATTTCTTCATCTTGTCCTTCCTGCTGCCTACCAACAGCCTGTTTCTCAGCCACACTGGGAATGCTCTTAGGATGGCCCTGATCTCTGTGGGACATGGGTGTTTTGGTCTTCCTGGCCAGTAGATTTGCTTTTAATATGGGATAGATGCTTTCTCACATAGACCTCCTTGGGCTACACCGCACATTTTTGGAGGTGGTAAGGGAAAAGGTATCATTTACAGTTTCCCTTGGTATGGGAGGCCCTGGGTCCCTCAGGATCACTCGGCACCCCAAGGCTGAGTAGCTAGTATGGAGATGGCAAGAACCAAGAGTGCCCTAGATCTTCATTGATCGTGAATGGGAACAGTTATTGTGCAGATAGGGTATGAGGTATGTACCTGCCTCTTCTGGTCCTCAGACCTCAGTTCACCAAGTACAGGATTCTCCTTTTATCTGTCTTGCTTTCAGGCACGGAAGAATCTGGTTTCCTTAACAAGACAAGAGAGGGGATAGCAGGAGAGAGATGGCCAACTAGGGAAACTCCTGAAAAATTGTTCAGAAAACCCTGTTGGTTTCATATTCAGTTCAGAGTGTCAGGGCTGTAATTTGGGGTTTCATTTAAATCAATTAACAGATAATTTCCACAAAACCAGTTCGAGACACAGGTCCTTGTGGGCATAAAGATACTTATTAGGTTGGCTGAAGAAACAAGGCGGGATGAGAACCCTCTGACCCCCTTGCCTTTGGGGCAGCCCTGGAATCAGGTCACGCTCCAAGCCGCTGCACTTCTCCCCCAACCCCAAGAGGGCGCTGTGGGCGAAGCCGCCGCATTGCCCGCGGCGTCCCCGGGGAGGAGCCTCTCTGCAGCCGCGGCCGCCTCCGCGATCGCAAACCCGGAAGACGAGCTCTGGCAGCTGGGAGTGTGCGGCCTGCCCAATACTGCCATGCTGACTCTGGAGGTAGGTCTGGTCCCCGCTCCTACGAGGGAGCCGGGACTGACCTGCTGGCTGCGGAGAGGCAGTGGGATCTTGGCGCACCTGGTCGCTCTGGGCTTCACCGTCTTTCTGACTGTGCTGTCCCGGCCAGGAACCAGTGAGTTCTCGAGGCGGGGCCAAGGAAGGGGGCGGAGCTGAGGTGCGGAGGGGCCGCGCTCGCACTAGGAGACGAGGAAAGGGGACCCCCGAGATGTGGAGGGGCCATGGAAGGGTGGAGCCTAGGGTGGGGGAGGGGGAGCGGGAGGAGGCTAGAGAATAAAACCCAACTGATCAGCTCACCATAAGCAGGGCCCCTGGGGAAGGATGCAGGTATGTAAAGGAGGGATGGCCTTCAGAGTACAGGGATAGCAGCTGAGAGAAGCCAGTTGAAGAATCTAGGCTAGACAGGTGTATGTTTACGGGGAGTTTTTTTTGTTTTCTCACCCAAAGGCTCTAGACACCTCCACTTTGCCCAGAGTTCCCGATTAAGCTTGGGGAGGGTCAGCTCACCTGTGTGCCTAGGTTCTTTGAGTAAGAGCAGTGATGCCCAACCATCAGCCTGTTCTCTTTGATTCTCAGGTCTTTTCTCTTGGCACCCTGTATTCATGGTCCTGGCGGTGAGTTGGGGCTTCTTTCCACTGCTGATTTTTTTGAGATTACTAACTTTATCCTTCGGGAAGCATCCTGTCCACAGAAAATTTAGCTTTCCTAAGACTCAGGGAGGTGGGGAAACCACTCGGGCCCCTTCTTTCTCTATAATCAATGAGATTAGAAACGTGGAGGGCTGGATCATTGCTAACGTGTAAGGTACTTTGAAGGGAGATGATTTTTCTCCACTGGGGCCTGAAAGGAGGAAGGGAAAGGGATGTTATCTGACTTCCCTCCTTACTAAAGCTGAAGAGGAGGTTTAACATTTGCTATTTGCGCTGGTCAAGAAATGGGCATCATTGTTTACAATTGAAGGAGGTGGTGTCACCCTCTGTAATGAGTCCTCTACGCAAGCATTGATACTCAGTTGTTCCTAGAAATGTTGACCTGAGAGACAGCAGGTCTTAAGGGTGTTCTTTAGCCTTCCTGCCCCTTCTCCTTATTTGTGTGTATCAGAGTACCTCCATATTTCTCAGGCCGCTAAGCCTGCCCTGAGGTTCATCAGTCCTCTCCTGTGTTCACAGTTCTGTTTCTGCATGGCTGAGGCCATCCTCCTCTTCTCGACTGAACACTCCCCGTTCTTCTTCTGCTCACGCAAGGCTCGGATCCGGCTCCACTGGGTGGGGCAAGCCTTGGCCATCCTCTTTGCAGCCCTTGGCTTGGGCTTCATCGTCTGCAGCAAGACCCGCAGCGAGCTGCCACACCTGGTGTCCTGGCACAGCTGGGTAGGAATCCTGACATTGCTGGCCACTGGTGGCCAAGCACTGTGTGGACTCTGTCTCCTCTGTCCCCGGGCAGCCAGGGTCTCTAGGGTGGCTCGCCTCAAACTCTATCATCTCACCTGTGGATTAGTGATTTACTTGATGGCTACAGTAACGGTGCTCCTAAGCATGTACTCAGTGTGGTTTCAGGCCCAGATCAAAGGTGCAGCATGGTACTTGTGCTTGGCCTTGCCCCTCTACCCAGCCCTGGTGATCATGCACCAGATCTCCAGCTCCTACTTGCCACGGAAGAAAATGGAAATATGAGTTCTTCTGGACTCTGAATCTAAAGTGGGACACCTACCTTGGACTTCCACAGTTCTTTTGATGACCTTCAAGGGACCCACTTCCAAAGTGGTAGGGTTTTTGCACTTCTTGGCTGGGCCAGGTGCTGCAGACACTCAAGCTTCTGTTGTGAAGGTGAAAACATGGTGGACTAAAATGGAGAAAAGTTTGAGTGAAAGATAACAAGGACCTTGAGCCTGAAGCCTCTGCTCATGGTAGAAGTATTTGGGGTTAGAGGTCATATCTTGCTTGCATATCTGATGAAGAGTTGGGTTTCTCTAAGTTATAAATGGCAACTATGAATATTTAGGTCACTTTTGAGAAAGCAGCAGTGTCGTGGAGAGAGCCAGTAAGTCTTATTACAGCTTATGGTCTTCTTAGGCTCTATGATTTAGGCAGCTCACATATCTAAGGGTCTCAGGTTCTTCATCTGTCAAATGAATGTTTCTAAACAGTGCATAAGTCTCTTCCATCTCTAACATTCAGTGTTTGTCAGGTTGATGTCAAAGGTTATCTTCCCAACTCTGGACCACAGATAATACCTACCACTTGACAGACTCAGGAAGTGATTTTTATGTTCTTTCTCCCTTTACCCTCCTGGAGAGACAGTTCTGCCCTTGTAGACTTTCAGGGATCTGTTGATTTGTTCCCTGGACCAAAGAGAGAAGGGGCCCAGGTGAGTGTCTCCTGAACTCCAAGGTAAAGGCACTAACGTCACTTTAAAGCTTTTAGAGGAGCACAAGGGCATTTGGCTTAGCCAAGCCTCCAGCTTCTGGCTAACTGTTGGGAGAGATGAGACGAGTCGAGCTAAGAACTTCCTTCATTCCACTTCACAGAGGCCCCATCCGCATCTGGGTACCAGAGCTGCCGGACCTCAGCATGCGCCTTCACCTGCTGCCCATCCCCTGGAGCAGATAGTCCTGCCTTGTTCTTAGGGCTCGATTCTTGCCTTAACAGTTTCATGAAGGTATTTAAAAGTTTTTTGGTTCTCAGAGCTAGCTGTTAAGTCTAAGATTAATTATCACAACAAAATAAAGGCCAAGGAAATGAAGCAGGGCTCTTCTGATTCAGGGAAATCAAACTGCTCCAGGTTCCCTTTCCCTCCTCGTCATTTAAGCTTTCCTCAGTGTCTATACTAGCCAGCTCTTTGGCCTAGGAAGGGGCTCAGTTTGGTGCCAGCTGGCAGATGAGTGCTGGACCCTTTTCCCTGTCGAGACCTTTCCTTGTTCCAGACTGAAAGTAGTTCCACAGACTGCCCTGGGCAGTGAGATCTGGATGCCAGACTGGTTAACCATGCTCTGGCTCAGTTGGGAAGATGGGGCTTCCATAGATTATGGCAAATTGAAGCCAGGAAAGCCACTGTTGATGCGGTTAGACGGCTCAGTGGAAACAGCCCTGTAGAAGCTAGGAGACGGGGGAGTTCCATTTCCTAGGAGCAGTGAGAGGGACTCCTAGATATCAGTTATTTGGATATACCGGGCCTTCTGAACACAAGGACCTCCTTTCAGGTGACTCAGAAGCACGGAGGTTAGTATGAGCCACAGGAGAGGAGGACTACAGGGCCACAGTGCCCTGATGGACCTTGCGAGGCTGCTTCTGGGTCAGAAAGCATCTCCCAGTTCTCCAGACCCTGAGCCTCCAGCTGTACAGAGGGTGATTGTCTTGTCTCTGATCCTTTAATTGTCTCCTCTCTAACTGTCCAGTGTGGCTTGAACTTGGAATAAATGGTTATTGGGGCAATATGGAGGAAAGGCTCACCTGCTGTCACTATGATCCAGAAAATCACGGTGCCCAGTTCTCACCCTAGCTAAAGCAAGATGAAAAGCCTAGGTCAAGTTCTCCAGCTAGTTCTGAGAACCAAGCAGACAGTGGCATAGAACTTGAGCCTGCCTGAGGTGTTGCCTCCTCCCAGGTGGTGCGGAGGCTGGTGGGCGGGTGCAGGCAGGCAGGCGTGCTTGCTGACAGCCGGCAGTTTGCGTGGGCTGTGCCAGCTGATGTCTATTCCCAGCCCTGGGAGGAAGAGGGAAGTCATTTATATTCTGCGGGAGGAAGGGCCCCCTACTGTTAACTCTGTGACCATTAGGTCCCAGGAGCCAGGTTACTGAGCTGAGAGGGAGGAACCTTCTTTTGCTTGGCTGTGTCTGACTGCCATGTAGGGAGTAGGTCACCAGGGGGAGCCCTCCTTTGTGCATGCCAGATTGTAGAGGGACTTCCCCCCACCCCCACGGTTCCAGCTCCCTCCACTGCCACCTGCCCTCACATCCTGGGGCAGCAGCTGGACAACCATTAGACTTCTGTGCCAGGGCGCTCTTTCTCCAGCTGAGATCACAGTGGCTGCCGACTGCAGATGCCTCCTGTGTGTGTTCCTCCTCCGTCTGCCCTTCCATCCCTCTACCTCCCTTTATCTTCCCATCTGGGGTATTAGCTGGGGTTCCTCAGCACTGGTAGGCTTTGGGGAGGAAGGAAAACGACTGCCCTTTTGCCCTTGCCCCTGTGGCTAGGGAAGCTGCTAGTTTTGCCATTTCCCGTTGTCCCTAAAGCCAAGGTGCTCAGATTTTTTTTTTTAATTGCATATCATTTGCACATCAGGCTAAGTCCAGGGTCCAAGTATAATTAATGCGACCTCAACTCTGAGGATATTATAAATATAGATGGGGTTACTATAAAATATAATTATCACTACGGCTCCTTGTGTCTACCAAGCCCCCATGTTCGTGTAGCCTTCCCTTCTCTGTGCCCTGTCATGGCCAGGGTGGTGCTGAATAGCAGGAGCTGTGTCTGCGGGAATGTCCCAGCCTCACCTTGCCTCTTCAGTGGCATCAAAGGTAGGCTGCTCTTACCAGCCTCTGTCCTCTTTCCCCACTTCTCACTGGGCAGGTTACCCCTCCCTGGCACTGGCCTGTCTATTTTTCTCATTGTCCCCACCCTTCTACCCTCATTCATGGCTGCTTTGGGTCTTGTTTTTGAAACCTCACTGTGGGAGAGCCAGGCATCCTTCCTGAGCCAGCTGGCTGCTGTGCCAAGGCCTGTTCAGAGTTAATAATAATCATTAACTGAATGGTGCTGGGGCCTTTCAGCTCCAGATCTCTAAGCACTTGCAGGGTGAGTCAGCCAGCCCTCATCCTGCCCTACCCCCACCTCTCCTCCTGGGCTGCAGCGTGTAACCCAGCGGGGAGGCTCTGTGGGAAGGGAGTCAGGAGTCTCGCCTCCTGCAATGTCTTGAGGCTTCCCTCAGGCTGTGGGCGCTATGAGACCTCTAAGAAATAAGGCTTTTGTACCTGAGAAAGGCCACAGTGTAGGGAGTACAGTGTTCGCACGTTCAGCCTAGCAGAGGTGGCTGTTGGCCCTGGACCTCTCATCCTGCAGCTGTTTATCTGCTTGACTTCCAGAAGACACCTCAGACCTGATGCCCCAAACTCAGCATTTCTGGTACCCTCTGAAAGCTTCTGGAATGGGGACACTTCTGGTTTAGTGCCTCTGATGGTCTTGTGTCTAACTGGCATACATAAATATGAACTGAAAAGTGCATTGACCTGGGAGGTAGGAGACTTGCAGTCTGGGTTACTAAGTTCCTAACACGGGTGTGGCCATGGGCAAATCACTTATTGTTAAACCTACCTCACAGGGATGTTGTGAGGATCCGTTGAGAGAATGAATGCTAACAAGCTTGAAAAAAAAAATACAAAGCATTAAACAAATGTAAACACGTGCAGTTAGGCTTTTGTCCTCTCTCCTTCCGTGAGCTTGGCTCTTTTCGGATTCTTAGGGATGCAATCAGAATTGAGAACGTTACTTAGGGGACCTGAGTCTCAGAGAAGTTCTGTTGTTGGCCATTGTAGGCGTACAGACACATTTCCTTCTAGAGGCAAGGTCAGCCACATCCATTCCTGCCCGACAGCAACCAAGACCATGTCAAATGAAGCACCTCTCTGCCTGGTGTTCACCAGTCAGGGGGCTGATTGCAAACCTAGGGCACTTGACTGTTACCTCCAGCCTGCCTGAAGGACCTAGAGCTGCCTGTCACAAGTCTATCTAAATCTCTCTGTCCTTCTAAAGAAACAGTGGGACAGAGGAGCCAGGAAGGGAGGAATAAAAGGAGTGGACACTGTGCCTGCTGCAACCACATACTGAACTTCACCCATCTCAGACCCTGTGTATTGGAGTTGCAGAGCTGTGGGAGGTATGGCCTCTGGCTTCCAGTGGTTCACAGTTTGCCTCTGCTTCAGTGTCTTAGTTTCTTGAGGAAGAGCATAGTTATCTCCTCCTCAAAGCACTTTACTGGAATTCAAACATACACAGGCTCCAAGAAAGCTGTTCTGGTTAATTGTTTAGTTTGCATTCCATCTGTCTGACACTAGCCAGCAGTCGGCCTGACATGGACAGAGGCAGGCACAACGGCAGCACCGCAGATGCTCAAGTATTACTTATTTTGAAAAATTTTACTTGTATTTTTTGTCCAAGGATTCAGTAATAAAACACTAGTCAGGCATTGTGGCAAATCTTCAGCATTTCTCAGCAGCACAGGTGAAGAGTAAACAAACTGAAAGTGCCCCAGAACTGTCCTGCAGGGTGATGTGAAGTAGACAGTTCTCAGCACTGGGATGGACTTCAAGCAGTATCTCCTGTAAAATGACTCAGTCTCTTGTCCAGAAGGTTTAGCTAGTCACCAGTGCAGGCAGGGACTAAGAGTCCCTGTTTTTAATCCACCTGCTGTTACTAGAATTTATCAGATCAATTTTTTTTCTTTCAACCTCTATTGTATCTAGATACCACGAGATCTAACTCTCTGGGTGGTCCCCTGGCAAACTTATCTTTAGAGTGGATTCTCAGTTACTTCATGGTGCTAAGGATGTCCAGGACTGGCTAAGTCTCTGTGTGTAGCCTCACTCTAGAACTAAACTCCTGCTGAGTTAGAGAGTGGTGGGAGGTGAGGGAAAAGCATAAAGTCCTCCCTAGGCCAGTGAGCCCACCTGGGTGTGCATTTACCAGGCATGTGCTGCCTGTGGCAGAGGGCGCTCTGGAA